CCTCAGGTGACAGCTCCTATGGGGAGACAGGGAGATGCCCCCAGGCTCTCCCCATCGCTCCCCCTGCCTCTCCCCTTGCAGATGTCGACGAGTGCGTGGAGGGCACTGACAACTGCCACATCGATGCCATCTGCCAGAACACCCCCAAGTCCTACAAGTGCATCTGCAAGTCTGGCTACACCGGCGATGGGAAGCACTGCAAAGGTAGGGACACATGCCAGAGCCAGAGCCCCTTCCACGAGTTACAGTCTCAGCAGGTTGGAGGCTGGCAGTGGCTTGTCAGCAATGTCCTCAAGCAACAAGCCTCCTTGTTTACCCTATTGCAAACCTTTTATTCCCCTTTTCTGCCCCAAACTCCTGGTCTGGTTTCACTGTGAGGGATGGAGATAGTGAGGAGAGGAGTGTAACTGTCCCTGATGGTGTGGAGGCATCTGTTGTGTTCTCATTGGATCCCTAGGTAAAACATTACAAGTTTAGAAATAAGATATATAGATACAGGTGTTGAAGAGGTACAGCTTCAGGTGGTAGAGATAATGGTGTAGATACACACATAGATGTAGATGTAGACCTAGATATAGATATATATATAGATATATATATATGCAGCTGAGTGGGGCAGGGAAATGGAAAGAAATGGCTCCTGGTAGAAGCAGCATCAGGAGAGCAGGAACTGGGCAGGGGATAAATTCCCAGCTCAGCTCAGAGTGGGTCCAGGGTTGGGATGGGCTGAGTACAATTAGCAGTGGGATTAAAGTGCTCCAGGCACAGCCAGGCTTTGCCATGGAGACAGGCTGGTGGGAAATCCTGTGGGATTCTCAGAGTACTGGTGCTGAGGTTTTAAGAGGATGGGTTAGCTGGAAGTCCAGGGTTTAGGCTAGGGAGGAGAGGGGATGTTTCTGCAGGGTGTGGAAGGATGCTGCAGGTGATCATGGAGCTGGGGACCTGCTGGAATATGCAAAGGCCCCAGGGCACAACACCCACCAGGTCACAAACAGGCTGGCAATGGCGAGCAGCCCCTGTGCAGTGGCAGGACCCCCACCATAGCAGCCCCCCCAGCTCCTCTGCCTTCCTCTCTCTGCAGATGTGGATGAGTGTGAGCGGGAGGACAACGCGGGCTGCGTCCACGAGTGTGTGAACATCCCCGGCAACTACCGCTGCACCTGCTACGATGGCTTCCGCCTGGCG